TGTGAGAGAGAGAGGGGGGGGATGCAGCAGAATGACATTTTGAACATGTAGTCTGAGTCGGTCACAGAGCAGGAATGACTGCACAGTTCAGTTCGGTGTTCTAAACATAACAAGTGTGAGTCAGGCGTGAAGCGGCCTTGTACGGTTACTGAGTCAGACGCCATTTCTCCGTTCAGGTGATGTTACTCTTTCCAACAGCAGACTATGAGTCGCATCGCCTAACCTCAACTGCTAAAAAGAGCTTTTATTTGATGTGAGTTTGACCTTTGTGCTGAGAGGGGGGGGGGTTTGTTTACATCAGCAGCGTGTGGTTGGGACTGAAATAACCAGGGGGTTTCCAGCAGACAGGAAGTGATGTCGTTTGCTCACTGTGCATGTTACATTACCAAGCAGAGCAGAACATGAAAGCACAACTCAGATCCTAACTCAGAGTCAGTTTGTCAGATATGAGAGCAGTTATCAGATCAACAGGTGTTGCAGCGATGGAAGCGGTCAAGAGAAGTGGTTCAGATAGAAGTGATTGTACCCGACCTAAAAAGCCTCTGCATGTTTCTAATAAGCTCCACGAGCAGAAACGTGCTCAAACTAGGATCAATATTGGAGATGCTTTTGAAAAATGGAGAGAGGTTAGAACACAGAAAGGTTTACAGACCCATGCAGAGCTGGATAAACACTGAAGCTTCAGAGTCCACCACATGGTGACCTAGAATTGCATTTTTGAGTTTTGAATTGAATTTTAGAACTGCAGTACCCATTTTAAACACTAGGGGTCAGAGTTACATACTGCTCCTTTAAGTTCTTAAACTTGAAGTATGTAAACTCCACCACCAGGGGGCTCTCATCAAAACAATTAACAATGGATGACGTTGAGGCTGGCGGGGAATCATGGGAGTGATTCTCTCTCCTGCTCTTTTACATTTTGTATCTTTAAAATGTGATGTAATCTTTTTCTTATTTTTAAATCCCTTTCCCCCGTTAAGTTCAGGTCTTACTGTTCACCTGTTATATGTCAGAGTACGATGTTTATGCGGACTTGTTATACGTGACATATATATCAAAGTGCAGTGAGATGTTTCAGTCGGTAACATGTGACTTTCTGTTCCTGGAGTCCAGGATGAACTCTGCAGCCCTCTGAGCGTCTGTGTTCACGGCTGTGGAAACAACAACGTGCATTTACATTTTCCCTGCAGCGATAACGTCCTCCACTTCCCTCTGCAGTTATTCACCGCGTCGTCTGTCCCCTGACAGCCCGCCACATTCAGAGGATATGTTCACGTCCAGCGTTTGTTTAAATGGTTACACATGTGGCACATCTGGGCCCGAGCCTGACTCATTACTCACTCCTTTATGTTCCATTCTCTGCAGCCATGGCAACTGCTGCATGTTTGGCAGAAAGCTTTTGAAGGCAGTGGAAAAAGAGAGAGAGCCTGGGGGAGTGAGAGTGAGCGAGCGAGGGAGGGAGGGAGGGAGGGGGGGGGAGAGCTCTCAGTAGTTGGCCTACATCCAGTGTAATCATGCCATGGAGCTGAAATGAGGCCTTTGGCAGCACACCAGGTTTCTGAGAACAAAGATGTGAGCTTCTAATGTTGGCGCTGGGGCCTGCTTGGCATCCTTTGCCATTTCCCAGCAGCCCTTGCCTTGGCTGACTGCCAGCCCCCCCCCCCTTCCATCCCCCTTTTCACCCTCCGCCTCACCCCTCCACCCCCCCTCCCACCCCCCCTCACTGGAACTGCAAAGAGGATCAGAATGAAGAGAGAGGCTTGTTTTTCTCTGGCCCGATGACATCACCTCTGCAGCCTCCAGCCCACAGATTCCAGCCGCCCAGCACATTTTTCCCTCTCGCCGTCGACCCTCCATTTTATTAGAATTCCACCATTTTAAACTTTTATCACAGCGACATTAATTCCTGACGCCGTTTCTGTCTCTGTTTGTAATCTCACACAGGTGGTCCATTCAGAAAAAATCAGGAACGCGTCCTAAACGTTTCACTGTCAGGATAAAACATGGAGCCGTGAATATGACAGACGGGAGCTTTATCTTTCAGAGATCCCCAAATTGTCTCTGCGCTCTAATCGGCCCCGTGCTAAAAATAGAACTGTAAACAGGATATATATGGTGGTTGGGGTGCTGTGATAATCTCCATGGTTACCGCTCCCTCATGCCAACAGGAGCTCAGTGAAGCTGCACGTCAGCCGCTCCTTAATCTGAGCAGCTCCTGATCGGGGGGGGGGGGGGGGGGGGGCAAACCATAGCCTGTAAATAAACATGGACGCAGCATCAGTGATGTCACCTATACGGGCGCTTAAAGCCGGTTGAGGGCGGTCGCCTTGTTAGCTCTTTTCACACTCCAAATACACAACAGTGCACACACACACGACGCTGTTCTCCCCCGCTGCCTCAGCTGATCCCGCCTCTCCTCTGTAACGCCTCTGAGGACGGGACAGTGGGGGGGGGGGGGGGTCACTTCACCCCTCCATTACGAGTCGTCACAGGCGTTAATAAAGCTGCAGGAGACGCTGACTCAGCAGATCAAACATGTTAAAGGCTCCTCATTGGTTACTGGATGATTTAGAAACATCTGCTTGACCTTCGACCCCTCGGGATGTGATGAGACGCCTGTCTGTAACCATGGCAACTAAAATAAAACTGATGCAGGACGGAGACACGATCACAGACTCCATGATCAGAACAAGACCATAAAGTCGAGTGCTTCACTTCCTGTTCTGACCTCCTTCTCTGTGCGACATCACTTTGCTGCTCTCGTCCTAAAGGGGGGCGGGGCGAGCGGGGGGGCGGCGAGCAGGTGGGTTATATAACACGGAGCAGAGAAACACCCAGAAAACATCCAGCACTGCTCGCTGCGTCTGCACAGAACTTCAGAGAGAATCTGTGATGATTCCACCATGAATTAAAGATGGCCGATATCAAATTTAACAAGGCTCTAAAATAACGCCATGTCGTCAGGCCCACGCCGCCCACGCCGCCCACGCCGCCGTCACATGCTGGGTATTCCTCTGGCCGTCACCTTCTCCTCTCTCTCTCTCTTTAGCTGCTTCACTCAGACGAGGTCAGCGTGTGCTTCAAACAGCCAATCAGAGCGCTCCGTGCACGTCGACTTTACTCTGCGATGATTAAACATTAAACGCCTCGTCCTCTCATCGAGCGGGGTCACTTAATATCCCAGCATGCATCTTTCATAACTCAAACACGGACGGCGTGCAAAGCGATCCAAATCGTCTCAAAGTTTACATTTCTGTCGCCGTGACGACGCTGTGTGGTTATAAGAACAGGAAGACGAGTGTTACCATCAACATTCTGCTGACTCAGCGCGGCGTCGTATCAACTCTGAAACGACCTTCAGCAACGCGTGGTCACCGTGCATAAAGGCGGCGTTCACTGAAAACAAACATTTCCTCAGTTCTTGGCGTCGGTGACTTCTGTTTTTACTCGCCATGGTCGAGTTTAAATCGTGTTTGATTTGTTCTCGTGTAAGAGTCTCGTATCGTGGCGTCCCTCAGAGTGAAACCTGGTGACGTCTAAATGTTCAGGGGCGTGCCCCCTCCTCCATCGCTCGCCGTGCTCGCCGCTCTTCTGGCAGCGCTACAGAAACCATCACGGCAGCTGCACGGTGGTTATCTGAGCTCAGTGGCGACAGATCAGCAACACGACTGCCTCGTTTTGTTTATGGAAACGCTTTGAAGAAAGGCCCGATGGCGGCGGCGGCGGGCATGGAGCCAAGCGGCCTTCCTGTCCACGGGGCGAGGCGGCTGAGGGTACGTGACTAAACATCTCACTTCCTCTTTCCTGCGTCACGTGGACCTGCACAAACACATCCTGCTCGGTGTCTGCAGGTCACAGACGCATCGCCTCACCCACGGCCCGGGGCGCCGCTGCAGCTCGCTGGAATGAGCCCAGGAGAGAGCAAGGAATCTGAACGGACACGCCTCCCCGACACGCCTCCTCTCTGACTTTAGGGGGTTTCTGCTGCGTGCCCTGTTTGGAGTCATGATGACTTCCTGTTTGCTTCTGACCCGCTCCACTCGCTCACCGTGTTTCACTTCATGATTTAATTTTGCTGAGCGCCACGATGAGGAACGTTCAGAAAATGTGGGCAGAGTTTTTGCTCATGTCCCCCCCCCTCCTCCCCCCTCCCCTCTGATCCATTCAACTTTACAGCAGGCTGGAAACCCCCTCCACCTCATGACAGCTTCCTGCTCACAGACTAATGGAGGCGCCGTTTAGCTTCCTTTTTATATCAACAGAGCAGGAAAGTCTGATCTCACTGCTGTGAAGGATTCAGAGAGCTGATACACAGGAGCAGCACGGGGGGGGGGGGGGGGGGGGGATAACCCTCCTCATTATCATCCTGAAGAATGATTGATTTCATCTGCAGCATGTTCCTAAAGTCTGTTGACTTCCTGTACAGATGTTGTTGTTGTTGTTGTTATTGTGTTTTTAATAATCTCCTCTGGATTATTCTCTCTCTACTTCTCTAAACTATAATAAAAATAGAAATAATTAAATAATAAAAACAGAAACATGAGGCTCCTCCTGTCAGTCCTCATTCAGTGCATTAGCAGTAGTATTAGCATTAGCATTAGTAGCAGTAGTAGTAGTTTAGAAGGGTCATGTCGTCACTGTGCAGCGAGCAGCCTGAACCGGATCCAGCTCTGAACCAGGACAAAGCAGCAGTCCTGCTGGAGGAGCCTCGTGTTAAACCTCCCCTGGCGGTTTGTCTCGACCCTGCAGCCACATTTTCTTTGGCTTTCTAAAATGTGATTCCCGATGCAGAAAGGCTGGAGTGGTATGTTCTGCAGCTGGATGATGAATGATAATAAAAAGAGGAGCTGTCTCTCCTGCAGTCCGACGCGGATCCGGGTTCAGTCTGGCACAGGTTGAAGAGCTTAAATAAAAAGAAAAAGCAGTGAGTGACAGAGGCTGCAGTAAACCGAGGAGGAGGAGGAGGAGGAGGAGGAGGAGGAGGAAGGGGGGTCTGTCGAAGAAATCAAGTCAATAGAAACTGAAGTGGAAGCAGGCGTTTAGAGCTCCGTGGTGACGTCACTGGTCCACACTGAGCCAGTAGTAGAGAGGCAGTGGAGATAGAGAGAGGAGCGCTGTAGTAAAGGACGCACCGACATGAACTTCTCCCTCTCTGCTCAATAACACGGGACACACTACCTGCGTGTTTTTCTGCCACGAAGGGAACTTGTTGTTTATCATCTTTTCAAGGAAACTCGGAGGAAGGCGGAGAAGAAGACACATTTTGGGCTTATTTTCGGGGGTCGACGACGAGTGAAATGTCGTCCGCGGCGGTCGCTGCTTCTTCCAGGAGGCAGTCGTGTTATTTATGCGACCTGCCCCGCATGCCGTGGGCCATGATCTGGGATTTTACCGAGCCCGTGTGCAGGGGATGTGTGAACTACGAGGGAGCGGACCGGATCGAATTCGTCATCGAGACGGCCCGGCAGCTGAAGAGGGCGCACGGCTTCCAGGAGGGCAGGTCTCCCGGTCCGGGGGAAGGCGCAGCTCTCCGGGAAGGAGATCCAGGCGATCAACCACGCTGCGGCGGGAGACCCGGGATCCCGGCCGCCGCAGCCTCTGGACCGATACCCGCTCTCCTCGGACCGCCCGCCCAGACTCGGACCAGAGTACCCGTCTGGCAGACAGGCGAACGGCATCCCCGTCCCCAACGGATTTCCTAAACCCGACGAGCCTCCGGAGCTGAACCGCCAGAGCCCCAACCCGCGCAGGAATAGCACGGTGCCCCCCAATCTAGTGCCTTTGGTTAACGGGAGCATGCCCCCGGTGCACGCCGTCAACGGCAGACCGGGACAGATGGGGCTTCCCTCCTCTCTGGCGGCTGGTAGTCCCGCAGACATGGGCAAGAGACCCGCCTCGGTGTCCAGCAGCGAGCACGACCGGGAGGGGAAGGAGAAGCACCGGGCGGACAGTCTCACACCGGAGATCTCCGAGAGCCACAAAAACCGGGCAGACGCGGACTGGATGGGCAAAGGAAAGACCGTGAGGGACCTGATGGCTCTGCACACCTTCGACAACAGGTTCAAGAAAGACCATGCGGCCATGCAACAAAGAGTGATGGGATATGAACCGAGCGCCGCCGCCTCCAAGTCAGGTAGGCATCCGGGGGGGGGGGGGGGGGGGGGATGCTGGGGGGGGGTTCGAGTCCAGAATCCAGAATCTGTGTTTTAATGATTTTTATATTTGATTGTCTTCTTGAAGCTAGTGGAGTCCTGAAGGGGTTAACAGATCTTTATAGTGTGTGTGTGTGTGTGTGTGTGTGTGTGTGTGTGTGTGTGTGTGTGTGTGTAGTCTGAGTAACATGCATGTCTCATGTTGATCCCGGTCTGAGCTGTTAACCCTTTCCCTCCTGCAGACCGAGGGAAACACCCCCGCAGCATGAAGAGGAAAGCGTCGCCTGAGCCTGAGGGAGAGGGGACGGCCGCCAAGCTCAACGGAGAGGGACAGCAGTGGTTACCCCCTCCTAATGACGGACTCAAAATGCCTCCGGTGCCCCCGTCGAGCTTCGCGTCCCCCCCCTCCACGATATCCCCCCACTCCCGCACCACCCCACCTGAGGCGGCGCAGAACGGCCAGTCCCCCATGGCCGCCCTCATCATGGCGGCGGACAATGCAGGTGGGAACAGCTCCCCCAAGGACGCCAACCAGGTCCACTCCACCACCCGCAGGAACAGCAGCAGCCCGCTGTCGCCGTCCTCCATGAACCAGAGGAGGCTGGCGCAGCGGGAGGCGTCCGGGGCGGGCACCCCCCACGTGCCGGGCATGGACCAGGTGCACCCACAAAGCATTCCGGACTCCTCGGTACCCCGCAGCATACCGCTCTGCTGCACGCTCTGCCACGAGCGCCTGG